TATAGCCTATTGGCACTTGTGCATGCATAATGTTTTCCAGCTGTGTTCTAATGGTGCCTCTGGCTCTCACATGTTCAATTGTGTGCTACGTAAGTCCAACTGTTGCTACTGTTAGGCAGGTGTCTGGCCTTGTTTTTCTGGTTTAAACTCAACTATGTATATTATTTAGTTCAGTGATATTGAGACTGAGGCATTAGAGCCACAAGTGGCTCTTTAATTTGTCTCCTGCAGCTTTTTGCTACACATATTAAAACACTGTGTGATTTAATTATTAACCAGTCCAAGTTATTAACCAATCAGGATGCTTTTATTATGTTATTAACCAATTGTAGAATACCTGGTCAGTGATTTTTCTGTGAGTATATAGTAAATGAAACAATGAATTCACACTACTGTGGCTTTTTTGGGTAATATTCATCACTAATTTGGCTCCTGAACCACTGTCTATGGTGGTTCCCAGCAGTGAGTAGGGTGGGAGGAGAGTTTTGGCCCATGCCCATGTCTGCCTTGGTAGTGTCTACATTAAATAACTGTATCTTTCACAGCCAACCAGAGGATTAACTCTCTGCTTTGTAGCTTAACTAATGTTTTGTTCCCATAAAAAAAACAAAACAAAAATCTTTCATTATTGGTGATCATATCAACACCCAAGCCACATCATGACTAGAAAAGTATTCAGTGGAGGAAAGAAGGATTCTGTTACCACAAAGACAAAGTAATGATGCCATGCAGAAGACCATGACCATTTGTAACATGGACACCACCAGCTTAGTAGTACAGTCATCCTCACAAGCAAGTACTGCTGCAAGCAGTAGACTGCAGCAAACAAGCAAAACAAACACCACATCATCACAGCCATTTCTGGATACAGTGACAGAAGAAAAAGCAGAAACACTGAGGAGAGAGCATATGGTGAACTCCCAAATCCAGTCCTCACACAAGATGAATAAAGAGGATTAAGATGTATTTGGCTTGTATCTGAACAAGTTCAGATGAACATGCACTAGGGCCTGCTTCTGAAGACCATATGCTCAGCGTTTTGTATTTGCATGCTTTTTGTATCTGCCATATTTTGTTTGTTTTAATGAATGGCTGTCTCGCCACACGGCCTATGAAGAAGCAAGTATGCCTACCAGCAAGGACAGAATCCACAGCACCACAAAGCCATTCAATATACACACTAGGGTCCCAAATCAGCAAAACTTAAGCACATGGGTAACTTTACACACAAATAATCTCATTGACTTCAGTGGGACTACTCATGGGCTTAAAGTTAAGCTCTTGTTTAACGAGTACCTAGAGCAGCAATCATCTCGGTGGTGGAAAATTGTGATAAGTGAGGCTTGCTATGCACATCTTTTCAAATGCCACCACAGGAATGGGTTTGTATTGGCCGATATCACCTAGTGTTATGCATATCCCTTCACCACCCATGAGGCCTTAGACTTGTCATCCATGAGGCTGTCACAGCATTATGCACACCAAGTGCATTTGGTGAAGGAGGGTAAATATCACTTTATGATAGAAATAATTTATAACATCACAGTAGTGTTATGACTTTGGCTTTTCCAACACACAGATGTCCTTTGTGATTCAGGTTGCATCTGCAAATATACATTTTTACATTTGGACAGTATATGAGAAATGCAGTGAGAAATCACTGAGTGCTATTACACCTTGCACACATTTTCTTTAGATTGCTACTGCTTCTGCAAATGCAGCCTGCATCACAAAGTGCATTTATGTGACCTGTGTTGTTCCTTATGAGGTTATTATAAATCCCACATAATGTAATTCACTATTATTCAGCGAACACACAGTGTGTGTGTACATGTTGCTGCTGCTGGCATCAGAGATATGCACCCTGTGATCAGGTGAAAGACGGGTGCTCATTTTCTGTTGTCAGTGTGTTTCACTGCAGCACCCAGGCCATTTCACATAGTGTAAGAAGCTCTGTTGGGACTGTGCAGTTATCACGCAATATATCATATCATTCAGCAAACATGTCACTATGTATGTGGGAGTTGCTGTTGCTTCCTGCAGCAGTGTGCCATCCTGTATAAGTGATGACGACATTGTTTCAGGCTTGTATAATAAACATTTTGGCTTTTTCAGAATAGGAAAAAAGGTATGTCAGAAAATTGTTCATCATTTCATCATCCACACCTACAAATAAGTGTGTATCACTGTGAATGAATGTTTAAAACTACACACATCATATGAACCCTGTAAACAACAAATCCATGTATTTCTGGATGTACGTCCATGAAAATAAATTGACCATTACCTCCTATCCAGATGATAGTCATGGGTGTGTATTGCATAAAAGTGAATAAAAGTATATTCTGAGTGTGCTGCAGTCTTTCCCCTACCAAAAGCTTTACCCTTTCTAAACATTTAATTTCAGAACACACTGTACTAATAAGAAGATATTGCATAACTATGGCCAATGGCAAACTTTATATATCAAAATTTAACTGGCACTTTGTCTTTATGTACTCTGCAGAGAGTACCTTCCCTCAGCAGCACTTATAAAACACATGAAAAAGCAGACTGGTCAAGCCATCAGTAGTATGAGATGGGGGATACCCCATCACAAGGAAGACTCTTGCCAGAATCTCCACTAGCAACTATGGCAGCAGCCTCAGCCAACTCTGTCTCAGTGGGAGCAGCTGCATCCATGGCATGGTCTTCCTCCCCAGCCACATCATGAACAGGAGATTTTCACCCAAAATCAGAAGCAACCTATTCTTCCAAAAACCCAACAGAAGAAGGAAATTTGTCAGCACAGTCTCAAGGAACAATGGCTGACCATTGACAGAAACATTCAAATAATCTAGAAATGCCTCTGACTGGTCCTCTGTCTACACTTGCCCACTGCCTGATATCTTCAGCCAGCAAATTTCTGTTTCCTCTCTATTTGCTGACTGGCATTGGAAGCCACCTGAAGTCTGCACTTCAAGCTGTGCTGCGGCCTTGCAAAGTAGCTATTCTGAGATATGCTATGTAATATGATCACTCCACATACACATCAAATTATGGTCCCAGAAGTTGATGGAAATGTCATCACCTAGGCAACATCTAGCCTCAATCCTCCTCTTGACTGCTGATCAGTATGTGTCTGCTGTATGAAACTGAGTGACAAAGAAGTATACTAGTTAGTCACAGGAAGAATTTCTTCCAGTCTCCCATAATAACTTCCTATCTAAGTCACCTTTCTACTCCTATACTGTTCTTAGACAAAGACTGTGTATATACAGGGTGGCAGGAATGGGACTCCTCAGCAATGATAAAATGAATACGTTCATATGTAAACAAGCACATGTAGTCATATTGAATCTATTTATGCACACTTGTATTCATTTCAAATAATATTGTTCCCTTTCAGAACTTTATATATTCACGACAACTAAAGGGCACTGATTCTGTTGAAATAAACCAGAGCTTTAGTATTGGTAAATGCCATATTTTAGTATTGGCTCAGCGATATAAGTAGTATGCTCTAGCTTGAAAAGTGACTATGTAAAAAGAGCACCTTTTTAATTAACGCATAAGCCAGTGTGTCTATTCAGTCACATCACCTGACTTCAGTGAAAAAAGTAAAGGATTGAAGGGTTGGAATTTTCTTTTTGTGGTTTTTCCCCCTCAGCTTTTTACATACACACACACACTCCACAGCCTTGCAGAGGCAACATAACTAAGAATAAAGATTCCAAATGTAAAGACCCCAACTGATTTTAATGGGATTTTACTCAGACCCCATGCTATCTTCCTCATCATTACAACTTTTACTAAATTCAAAACAGCTACACCTGTGCAATCACTAAAGGCAGAGAGGCTGCACAAAGCATAATGTGAAGATTATGGGGTTGCACAAGCATCACAGAACATAATTGACCTTTATTGCTAGTTGTGGTGATCAGGAAGGAAAGCAATCAGCTTGACTATCAGATTCTAGACTCGTAGGACAGGCAGTTAGGAAAAATCTTTTTACTTGGAAATTGAGCACATTTCATCTAGAATGAAAGTAAAACAAAAAATATAGAATCCCATAACCCCAGTCTTACAAAGTAAGTTTTCAGAGTTGAACCAGATATTAAAAATGCATGGTTGTTCACCATGTATTTTAAGGTAGATAAAATGAAAGCTTGTGTTTGAACATGCCAAAAGTGCTAGCATGTCTCATGAACATCTATCCTTTCAATACATACAGGAAAATCCTTACGTATTATTATCCATACAACTGCCTCCCTGTTAACACCACAACTACTACAGCAACTATACTATCCTGGGCAGTTGCCCTAGCCCCCATTCCCCACTGAGTAGAGTAAGTTACAAGGAGAGAAGTAAATTTTGCTTTGGTTTTTGGGACTAATAAAAATGTTTTTTTAGGATTGGACAGGACAACAGCATATGTCACATATTTTAAAACATATTTTTCTGGAGGCCATCCTGAGACTATCTACAAGGTGTTTGTCTCCAGAGGTCTCTTCTCCTTTAAAGCTGAACTCTGTGTTGTACTATCAATATACAGATCTATCTCTCAGGTGAAAGTATAAATATTTCCAGCAAAAATGCAGCTTAATGTTTTTTTTGTCAAGTCGTATTGCCTTCTTCCTTGGTTACGGTTATGAGAAGTGCTTCTGTTTATATGATGAAATAGACAAATAGACCACCCTCTTCTCTTGCACCTCCTGTATCTAAATCCAACTTCCCCACAACGCAGGACAGACTTCTCACAAGCTAAAAAGGAAATAAAAATTAAAGCAGCTCCTTGTTAAATAATTGGAAACACACCACTAGTTGTTGGTAAAAATCTCTTCTTTATGATGTCACCACTACTATAGAAACGATGTGTTAACAAAGGTGAAGATACCATCTGGCAGTAGAAGATCATGGAAAGTTGAGAGAGGAGGCAACATCTCGAGTCTGGCAGGGTCATCATAGCAGCTCATCTAACACAAGAACACTGGTTACAGTTCCATTTTTAACCTGTAAAAATGTCTCAGGAAGTTGACTGGTTACATAGCCAAGCAGGTGTGTGTAAAGTAGACCTCTACAACCCCGATGAACAGAAGGACCAGGACCGGAAAGTGATCTGTTTTGTAGACGTCTCCAGCCTGAATGTAAAAGACAAAGATTTAAAAGCAAAGAAAGCTGCTAGCCAGTCTAGTAGCATCTCTGAACCTTCAAATGAACTTGATCTGGGGAATCTGGAGGAAAAAGAAGTCATTGTAATAAAGGACAATGAGAAGCATGATCATTCTAAAACTAAAGGAGCAGTATGTCTTTTCAAACAAGGTTCAACCGATGAACTCAGTGTTGTGAGCTGGCTCAACGATGACCTTCAGAAATATGCAAATGGACTCCAGCATGCACTGACCCCTTCAGATACTCCTCAGAAACACAAAGATAGCAACACCTTCATTGATTCATCGTTGTCCCAGAACAGTGACACATCTTTAAAGTCTGCTGGTGCCCAAAAGGGAAGAAGAGATCCAGATAATGTTTCATGCTATGTAAATAAGCTCTGCTCTTTGGTTTTTCAAATGGCACGTAAAGAGATCGCAGATAAATTGGAAGGTGCTGCCAGTAAGTGTATACACCAGGAAATTCATGACTCCGCTGTTGAAGGGAAAAATAACAATCCCCGTGGTTCTGTGAACAAAACTGCATCACAAACAGTGAATGAATGCACTGCAGCAAGCACACAGAAACCCCAGAGTAAACTACCATCCCCCAGGCCATCTCAAGAAAAGACTACCAAGAAGGAAGATACTCCAGGTTCTAAGAGAACATCACTCTTCTATGGTGAGATGTCTAATCAAAGTGGCTGTAGACAGGGGGAAGACTCTGGAGATAAACAAATGTGTCAGCAAGCAAAACAGTCTGGGCAGGATGATTCTGGTACTTCTGTGAGCAAGGGGTTAATGGTTTATGCAAATCAGGTTGCTTCAGACATGATGTTCTCATTTATGAAGACTATGAAAGTCCAAAGGAAGGATGGTAAGACAACCCCAGCTTGTGTAGTTTTGAAGAGAGTAATCCTCAAACACACCAAAGACGTCATATCAGACTTGATAGACTCAACCATGAAAAATCTGCATAATGTCACAGGGGTGCTCATGACAGACTCTGACTTTGCTTCCACAGTGAAGAAGAATCTATATAACATGGGAAGCCAGAAATCTATTGAAATTTTGGAAGTAATGGTAAGACGGCTGTATAATGTCCTTGTAGCAGAGCAAAACGATAAGGGACAGTCCAAGTCTCACAGCCTAGCGTATACCATACTGAAAACGGCATTCCCATCAGATTCAAAATCTCAAAGCATGCAGTTTGCAACACTGAAAACACAAACACAAAAGAAGGATAGGGAAAAAACAAAGCCAAAGATGTTTACCTGTGCTGAGAAAGTAAGTGAGCACATAATTAAGGAGGGACTAACCATGTTGCATTCCAAACAAACGGCAAGCAAAGTTCCAGAAAAGGTAAGAGGGAGTCAAGAAAAAAAGCCAGAAAAGGTCAGCACCTCAATAGAGTCACTAGCAAAAGACCTCACTGTGACAGCATTAATGCTGATACAACAGCACTTAATCCAACAGACAAACAGTGGCAGAGATTCAAACGCTCATGATTCGGGCACTTCTTCACTTGGGTTTGTTTCTCGTGAATCTCATTTTGAAAAGGCTGGGAAAAGCCAAAGCTCCAAGTCTCTTGCAATGACTGCTGGGTCAAGGAATTTTCCCCAAGAGCTCAACTCCCAAAAGGGCGATATATCAAGTATCCTCTTATCAATCATCCAGAAGGTTTTACGTGAGGCTGGTTTCAATATAGATGACAATTCCAGTGAGACAAACAAGAGTTTTAAACAGGTTGCCACTAATGATAGTGAGTCCAGCAAAAAGGCCTTATCTACACAGCCCAATTCAGCCATAGATCAGTTTGACAACATGGATCAAGTAAACAAAAAATTTATTGACCAACTGGTGGAATCTGTGATGAACTTGTGTTTATTCATGACTAAATGCAACAATTCTGATTTAGCGATAGGTGACCTATCAGATGAGCAAAATGCATCTGGTGCCTCATTCTCAAGAAACAAATCCATAGCTTTTGATAAGGAAGGGTCAAGGGACGCTTCACAAGTGAAGTCAAGTGGAAAACAGCTATCAGATTTATCATCCGGTTCTGAAGTGATAGTGAACAACCAGAATGCCAACAGCAGCACACAGAACAAGGAGCTCCAGGCTATCCTCCAGTGGATGGCTGCTTCCCACTTCAATGTGCCCAATCTGTCATTCATGAATGAAGAGGAAGGGAATTTGAAAAAGCTTCCTCTGTTAGCTGAAAAAGCAGCAAAGAAGGGCTGCAGCGTGGGGGATATTATCCAAGAGGTAATGAGGTACTTTGAAAAACAACGGATTGATGCCGCTGTGGGAAATGTGTCTCGTTATGGATTGATGGACTGGCTGCTTGCTAACCTGTGAACAAGTGCCAGCTCCTCCCTCTCATGTTACTTCAGCCCAGCTAAATGCCCATCTTAACTCCCTGCTGGAATAACAAGAACAATACAACTGATTTTCCTGAGACAACACTGCACTGAATTCCTCGGGTTGTTACACACTAGCTGGGCAATATCATCAATAAAAAAAATACCATCCCTACTGCCATTAATTATTTATTAAGCACTTCATCAGACATTTAAAAACTGCCACACACCTACTAGCCTGAGGACAGTACTGGAACAAAGGTAGATATGATAGATAAGGTGAGGAAGGTATCCACCAGCAAGATGCAGGGGCAATGCCCTAATGAGAAATCTAGCTCCCCTGCCATAAGCAGGAAGGGTGCTGGAGTTTCGACTAGGGTGTTGATCATGGGCTCTGCTCACAGGTTTGTCTTTCATATCATCCTCAGACTAGCAGGTGTCAGATAAAAACTTATCTCCATCCTCCATTAGTTGCTGGAAAGAGCTGTCTGTCTCTTCTCCCTCCTCAGAACCTGCTGGATGCTGCAGGGAGTAGAGGGTGGGATTGAAGAGATCTGTGTTCCTGTAGCTACTTCCCAGTCATATTTTTGTGTCCTCCCCAGTGAGTTTGCCTCTGCTCCTGCTTAGAACCTTCTAAAACAGCTGTAGCATGGAATTAACACAATTCTTGTCAGTTCTGCTATCCACAGGGTTCAGAACAGTAGCAGTAAAAATGAGCAGAGTCTTGTTAATTTCACACTGTTGCTGTTTGGCAAAATTACCAACAGCAGCAGAAGCACCAGAGCCAGCTCTTTGCAAAAAGATGAAGCAACATTAGTTTATGCTCTGTTCATATTTGAAAGTTTTTTTTCACAACCGGAAAGGCTAAAAAGGTTGGAAATTTTAAAATAAAAATTTATATTCTGCAGAGGCTGATGGCTCCTTCTTGCCCAGAGTGAGTAGATTTTTCAAGCCCCGTACTTCAAGGGACACAGTCAACTTAAAAATAAAAAGCATACATGTATCTTTAAAATATATATGTAATATTACAATAACTGAAAGTTTAGAGTTTTTTTCCTATTTATTTAATTTAACTGTACAAAAACGGCTGTCAAATGAAGTTTCACTATAGCCAGTTCCCCATTTGTTTAGATACAATGTAATTGTAAAACCTCAAATCAGGGTGACACAAAGACAAATGTAATCCCTAACATTACTTTTAGCTTTCTTTTCCCCTAAACAATGAATTGATTTCAAGTTGGCACTGTCCCTTAAAAGCAATACTGACATTTGCCCTGAGATATACACCAAACTGAAAAGAGAGATAGGGACTATTAACCCCAGTCTCACTGCTTGTCATGATACTATATACCATACATGACCATCGAAGGAAACATTCCCCATGCCAGAGACAACAGGCTATCACAGAGGAAATATTAGGGAGCATAATCCCGGAATTTAGGATCTCCAGGTATTTTTCAGTCCTATAATTCCAGGATTTCAGGAAAAATAAGGAGAGATAAATAACTATTGTGCATCTGAAAACTGATCACAAAGAAAATAAGTTCATTGAGGGTTTTCTTTACAAACATATCACTTTTCCAAGCATTTATAGCAATGGCCTCACTTCTTCCAAATCTTTTGGACAGAGAATAACTTTCCACACTTACTGTGGTGGTTTACAAATTACTCCAATTTTGTTGTTTCTTTATGACAAAATATTAAGATAAATGTAGTATCCTTTTAAAAAAAGGATTCAGAATTGCATTATGTAGAGATGCTTCAATGTTGCTGTCATAACTATGAAGGGAAGGGTAACAGCTCTCTGTGTACAGAGACTCCAAATCCTTTTACCTGTAAAGGGTTAAGAAGCTCGGGTAACCTGGCTGACACCTGACCCAAGGACCAATAAGGAGACAAGATACTTTCAAATCTTGGGGGGGGAAAGGTTTGTGTGTGTGCTCTTTGTTTTAAGGGGTGGTTCGCTCTTGGGACTGAGAGGGACCAGACATCAATCCAGGTTCTCCCCATCTTTCTAAACAAGTCTCTCCTATTTCAAACTAGTAAGTAAAAAGACAGCAAGGCGTCTTAGATTTACTTTGTTTTCTCAACTTGTAAATGTACCTTTTTACCAGAGTGTGTATCTTTGTTTGCTGTACTTTGAACCTAAGACAGAGGGGGGTCCTCTGAGCTCTTTAAGTTTGATTACCCTGTAAAGTATTTTCCATACTGATTTTACAGAGATGATTTTTACCTTTTTCTTTAATTAAAAGCCTTCTTTTTTAAGAACCAGATTGATTTCTCCTTGTTTTAAGATCCAAGGGGGTTTGGATCTGTATTCACCAGGAGTTGGTGAAAGGAGGGTGGAAGGAAGGAGGGGGGATGGTTAACTTCTCCTTGTTTTAAGATCCAAGGGGGTTTGGATCTGTGTTCACCAGGGAATTGGTGAAAGGTTTCTCAAGGCTTCCCAGGGAGGGAATTCTTGTGATGGTGGCAGCGGACCAAAGCTAAGCTGGTAGATAAGCTTAGAAGTTTTCATGCAGGCCCCTACATTTGAACCCTAAAGTTCAAAGTGGGGATCGGCCTTGACAGTTGCATTTTAATGTTTAACTTGGATTATTATAGACACAGGTGGTAGCACCATCTATTATTAAGGTTGCCCAACACCTGCATTATAAATACCTTATTTTGAGTTGCATATAACTTTGTCAAACTTTAAACAGTTTGAGCTAAATTTTTCGATGCCAGGTGTCTACCTCTTTTTTTGTTTTGTTTTGTTTTGGAAAATTTTAGCCAAAATGGTTCAGCTACTTCTGAAAGCAAGCCTAGGGGAAAATACATTGTTTTGCCCAAGTTAAAAAATTCTGGCAACTTTTTCTTGGAAAAACTCTAGTGTCTCTATGCTTTGGAGCAGATACATAAAATCTGGCTGGAGAGTGGACTTTGTTTCAGGGTTGTGCCTTGTGCCCAAATTTGACCAATTTATAAGCCTCCAGGGGAAAAAATTACAGTTTACACATGCTCAGCTGATATGGCTTAGCTTTTAGCAGCTAAATTCCCCAAAGATTCCATAGACACTGGGCATACTCCAGCCCAGGGCTGAGTTGTAATTACGCTGTAGTTATAGCTCCAGACTGCTGCGGGTTATGCCAGGTCCAGATCCGAGCACCTGAGCTGAAAGCAGGGAGACTGTCTCTCCTGCACTGTCATTGACTCACCTGCTGGGTCCACGCAGGCTGGAAGAATAAGTTGCCTGGCTCAAATGCAGAAGGGACAAGGGCCAGACCTGCAGGAGGACTGAGGGAAGAGGCAGGAATAAGGAGCCTAGGGGTGGGGGGACAGAAACTGGGACAGAATGAGAAAGGTGGGGGAAGGAGATGAAGACAGATCTCACAAGGAGACAGAATGGTGGGGAAAGAACTGGGAATGGCTGGACAAGGAGCTGAGGGAGGGCATTCAGACTGAATCAGGAGCCCAGGGAGGGAGAATGGGACTAGGAGCCAGTGGGAATGGGGAATGTGGGCAGGGGGTGCACGTGAGACTAGAATGGGGGAGAGACACAGATCACATGTGGGGCTGGGAAGGTGGAATGGAAACTGGGAGTGTAAGAGTAGGAGTGGGATGAGAAGCCTGAGGAGCGGAGTTTGGGACTGGCTAGGTGATGAAAATGAAACTGGGACAAGGAGCCAAGGGGGCAGGAAGAGACAAGACTGAAACAGTGAGAGTTTAGAGAGGATGGGGCAGAAGGGGTCCCAGTGAGGAGGGGATCAGAGTCTGTGCCCACCGGGGAACATTCCCGTCCAGAGCTGTCAGTAAATATCTATGAAACCCACCAGCTAACTCCTTCCCCTTCTAGTGCTGCTCCACATAGCTGTAATAGGTTGTCATCCTCTATCAGTTACTCCTTAGCTTAACTGGCAGAGGTTTGTGTGGTGAATCTAAAAGTTCCATCCCTGCTGACCACCAGTGTGGGCGTCAATATGATGCCAAAATGATAGAATTTTTTTCCAGTCTGTTTTTTTTTTTTTAAAACTAGGAAATTACACGCACAAACTACATTAAAAGAACATTAAGATTGCAAAATCAAGCTCTCAAGTTAAAAAATGCCAGTATTAATGTTGCCTGTGCAACCTTAATTCAGCCCCCTTGTGCACATGCATTCTGAGAGTCTTTAATTACTTGAGCACATACCATTTTTTCCAAAGGACTCATTCAGTACACAGAATGGGCCTGCCCTGGGGATGGAGCAGAGTTGTGAAGTGAAGGAGACTGCTGAGGCAGACATCCTACAGACATTTGTTGCAAAAGTAGGAAGGTGCGTAGTGAATGAGACAGGGAAGTGCAGGAAGAGAAAGGATGGTCTCATGATTAAGACAGCTGAATGCTGCCCTACAGAAATAAAGTCGATCCCTGCCTCTACCACAGAATTCCTATGTGATGCCAGTCAAATCACTTAAACTGTACTTTTCACAGGTGGTCACTAGTTGTGTGTTCCTCATTTTCTGAGTGCCGGACTTAAGAGCCTGCAGACTGATCGGCAGAAGTGCTGAGCACTCTCAGCTGCAAGTGAAGCTAATAGGAGCTGTGCTTCGAACATATGAAGTGCTATATAATTAGGCGTGGCAGAAATTGATTTTTTTATAATTGTAATGGATATATCAGTGTTTATTTTTAAGCAACTTTTTCAATTTTTATCTATTTAAATTTTCACAGTTGAGGAAATTATAGGGCGGATCAGATAATTATTTAATGTCAGTAGATGTTGAAATTCAAAAAGTTAAAGCTATATAATCATTAAAACACAAATTTTCAGCATCATATGTCAAAATGTACAACATAAATACCCTTAAATCACACTCTAATACAGGGGCTCTCAAACTGGGGGTTGCAAGGTTATTACATGGGGGAGGTCGTGAGCTGTCAGCCTCCACTCCAAGCCCAGCTTTGCATCCAGCATTTATAATGGTGTTAAATATATTAAAAAGTGTTTTTAATTTATAAGGGGGGTTGCACTCAGAG